AAAAAAAAAAAAAAAAAAAATATACCGACGAATTGAATACCTCCTTCTTTTGGGAAGTCGGTCAAAAATGGGCTCTACCACTGTAATTATATTCTTTAACATTAATATTGGACTTTAAGTATATTTTATTGAGACAAATCAACACTGAGGATGTGCTTCAGGATCCATAAAAGCATTTTGAGTAACAATTTGTATATGACTTGTTAAGCTCCTAAATTTTGTCGATGTCGGTACAATTTATCACAAATTTTCATGCAAGCTGGGTGTGAAAAAGCATTCAAAGTAAGGTTTTTCAATTGTAAAAACCACTAATGTACTGAGAACATTGTACTTCGTTTAATTAAAACAAATATGAAAACACAAATTGCCACTTTAGTCCCTTAATAAATAACTAAATTAGACGCACCATTTGCACGGTACGTTCGAATGACCGCAATTTCACCCTAAGTGTGTACGCAAACGAAATACACTTACTTAAAGTAAAATCTTTCCAAGACAAGGTCCAGTTAACTGAATATGCATGTCCGTCGTACATGTTTAATGAAATCCCGCATCGACCTGTCTTATTTATAAGTTCTTAAGTATCCTTGCTTTTTGCCTTTATTTGCCTTTAAATTAAAATTTCAATTCTGTGTTTTGAGTAACATGAGAAAATCCTTACGTATTGAAAAATGTTAATCTTTAACAATATCAGGTTTAGATGTTCATTTTTTTAATAACAATAATCATGAATATTATTTACCTCTAGCAACACTAAAAGTAAAAAATAACTTTACGTTTTGTACCGACCACATGTCCGTGGCACCTTATGTCTATCATACTTTGCGAATGAGAAAATCGCAGGGTTTAGTGGGTAGTCCGGTATATCACACTTTATTTGACTACTCCCGTGCGACTTCATTCGCATAAAATTATGAACATTTTAATTTTATTGTTTACATGTGTTAAATTCAATTGCAAATGTCAAAATACCAATTACCTTACTATGGCAATCTTGTTTCCTTGATGTTGGCAGCAACGTATGGTCTTTTTCCCACATTAGGGATTTTATCCAAAATATTTTCCCCCTAAGTTTAATGGCGTGAAAATATATTGCCTAAAGCGTGACGTAAGTGGAGGACTTTCTATCAAAAAAATAATAATTCAAAAACATGCTGTAATTGCTGAGATCTTAGGCAACAAAGAAGTGTGTGTTTACGCTTTATTATAATAGTTTAGATAAGTATATGTATAGATTAAATACATTTTCTATGTAATTTTTGTTTTATGAAAATGGGGCAAAGAAAATGCTATAAGTTTTCTATGATTTAGATTTTTTTTTCACATATTGCCTGGTGTATTGCAATACTTTTCCTCTGGATGATTGTGAAAATGACGTTTTAATTTGCTTGAAGAGTCTCGTTCACGCATGACCTGTCGACATATAAGTCGACCGAGCTCTACATATAAAATGCGAATAAATGCGAATAGAATTTTTCGTATTTGTGATATTTTTAAATGTAAAATACCTGTCTTAAATTAACTTTATTCTTGGCTAAATTTAAATTGTACTAAAAGGAAATTCTCTCTAATTAAAACAATCGTAAGAATTTTGGACGCGTAATTACCATGTTTCGCTTTAACTATTTTATTTAGAAAACAATGCATGTATAATACTTTGAAAAGTTAATAGGTTGTAAAGCTTGATTCGATACAACGCCATCTATTGTCATATTTGAATAATTTTCGGAACGCAATAAGTTGATATTTCAAGTATATGCCTATAGATGGCACTGTAATTAAAAATACCTTAATTTTGAAGTAATATAATTAAAAAAACCGCTTCTGTTACAATAAATTCATTTAATTATAGATTCATAACACTCGTAGATAACTGTAAATAAATGAATCGCAACAATATAGTATTGTTAATGACGTATATGGCGACTTTGGGGACGACGAGGTGAAGGACGCGCGGGGGAGCGGAGACTAATCGACATCGGTGCGCTCGCGACGTCATTCAGCTAATAATCGATTATTGTACGAACGTGTTAACGATTTGTTTAAAGTGAAGATGGTTCCAGTACAAAAGGAAAAACGCAATTTTATTTACGCTAAAAACTTTGGTGACCCCGAAGTGATCTACCATTTAATTTGAAAATTAATCGTCAAGAAGTTTTTTTTTTTCATGTCTACTCGTACCCGACGACACTGCTGGTGGTTGCTTCTCCTGCCTGCGGCCGCTGCACAGAAGTCGTTGCAGAAGAGGACTACTTCCCTGCTGCATAGGAGCTCGACAAAGGAAGTGACATTTTATTTTAATTACCCACATGCGTAATTTTTTTTTAATTTCGAGTTTAATTTGCCTCTCTTTGCTAATTGCAGGTTAATTCAAATTTGCACTCATTTCTACACTTACACATACAAAAAACATAAATATTTAATGTGGCATTCGGACGAAATAATTACGTAACTTTTTTATAGCTACCTACTTCATCTGCAATGATTTTAAGTAACTTGTAATTTAATGCTTATATTGTCTGTTTACTTTATTACGAAGTCGCTTTCCTGAATTTTATGTCTAAGTTCTTTTGTAACTAAAACAAACGGGAGAAATATAAATATCTGTTACGTTAATATTATATGCCGACTATTTCAGCTGCCGCCTCTGCGCCAGCCGCGAAATCCTGCGCGCCGTCGTGCGTCTTCCTTCTGGAGATCCGAGTGCTCCTCGCCGTCACCGAGACTCCGCGTCACCGCCGCTCCGCGCCGGCGCTGAGTTCTGCTGTTGGACCGGTTTGCTGTTTGGCCGTTGCACGTAGCTGCAGCGGTCTGCACGGTTTGGCTTTTCGTTATTACGCTATTGTTATTACGGTATCGGTGCGCTAGCGATATCATTCATCTAAAAATTGATTATTATACGAACGTGAAACGATCTGTTTAAAAAAACAATATTCTCATGTATTAATTTTAATACGAAGCGTGATAGAGATCCAATAACACTAAATTAGTGTAACAAGGTGAGATATGTCTGCATATTCAATTTAGGATTTAATATGTACGAAGTAAATTTTGTTAGAGAAGGCCATCAAAATATGCTCCGAGCTATCAGTCCCCCTTTTCTATAAATCGAATTTAGAGTAATTTGGAAGTCACTTATTGCTTCATCATGTTTATTTTACAACCATCATATTTCACACTAATGTTGTAAATGTGAAAGTTTACATGGATGGATAGATGTATTTTTGTTAGAGTTTGTAGCCTAAACGACTGAAAGGATTTGGATGAAATTTGGTGTAGATGTAGAGGATAGCCTGGAAGAACACATAGGCTATTCACTATTGTTTTTTTTTAATTCCACGCGAACGGAGTCGCGGGCGAAAGCTAGTATTTTATAACTTGACAATATATACTAAAACTTATAGAACTTTAAAGTTCATTTCTGCGTCATTTTGTGTTACGAATTGATGTAATAAAGATATCATTGTTATTGACGTTATCGCATTATAAAGATAAAATAAATCGAAAAATGTTTGATGACAGCAGATATAAATATTGTCGCAGTTATAACAAGCTAAATTTAAAAGAAAGATTTAAAACGTCGAGATATGAACACGGCCTTCAATGATAAAACAAAACGTCTACGGTTACATCTACGGACATGTCTACGACAATATTCCACACTCACTTCTACAACTACATCTACGATAAGGTCTACGATCATGTTTACGAACTCGTAGTTGCATAGATTCATTTTCGTCTCTTTTGTTTCTTCAAAGTACCAATATATACGCAATTTGTTTGAAATAAAGTATTAACATTATTCTGGAATGGTTTTACAATCTGATATCTGTTTATTAACAAGCCACGTCCATACATCGGACGTGTTAATGCAGATATTCATATTTAATGTTTATCGAATTTAATCTCAGTGTGTGGACAGATACGTTACCGAAGTCTGTGTTTTCCATTGAGCCGTTTGTTGGGTAGATCGGTTGGACCAACGGGAAAAATGCCTGAAATACATCTCGATAATAAAATCATAAATATTATCAAATACTAACTTTGCTCTTTAATAGTATAAGATTTTTTTTTACATCGACCCAGTAGTTTTTGCATGAATCAAATACATGCAAAAATCAAAAAACACATTTTTTATGTCATAAGGTAGCAAAGGAGCAAGCGGCCACCTGAATTAGCCAAACTGGCGTAGCGACCGCTGCCTACCCTTAATCGACGGAGGGTTATACGCACACAAAGAGGATATTTCCCCTTCCTATGCGTCTCCTGCACCGTCAAATCCACATTTCCTTCCCATCTTCCTCTTATAAGAAAAAGATTTAAAAGGGAAAGGACTATATAGGAAATACTGTGCGTAGCTATAAATTTCTCTGAAAGTATTCACTCCAGACATTAGGTTATTTAGGCCGACAATTTAAAAAACAACGCGAGGTCTCTAAGGGGCTGTTAAAGATCCAATGCCGTTACAACTTGCATCCCGTTTTATTTATAACGACGTTTTTGGAAGCTTCTTTACATATAAATTACTCTGAGTACACTTAATCTAACGTTACGTATTAAGATAAAGTACTTTTGAACAACAGAAACTGGAAAAATATACCTAAGGTAAATTTATTTAGATTTAGGAGAACTAGAGGTTTTTAGAAATTCACAGTTTTGAGCCTGTATCTTGGCTTGGGTGTGCTGCAATCGCCTTTGTCACATCACGTTCTAACATAAGCAAAGAATTAGTTTCATATTTTCTGTAATAAGGCGAGAGATTTTATAATCTTAATTAAGTTTTAGTAACTTTATTGTTTTTTAATATAATGCGATTAATGGTTCCAATAAATGACCCTTTATTCAGCTTTATTTCCAACCTATAAATTATACCTCTTTTTTCGCGCGGGAAATCTCAACAATAATGCAAATCTTTTATCTTTAAAACGTTAGTTTAGGTAATGAACATTTAAAAAAAAATCTTTCACTATTAGAAAGGTAACATCCGTGAGTAACATAGGCTACACGTTTTTACTACTAATGTTTAAGAACCATTAATAAACAGCGTATTTCTGGACCTTGTCCTCGGGTTAAGACATGGTTATGTAGGGTTATACCTATAAAAACCCCCTCGGTGGCCATGCTCTAGTGCTACTAGTATTAACGTCTTAGTAATAAAATAAGGAAAAATAATGAAGATCTATAAAATGATATTGAATTCGATATTATTGTACGATTATAAATATTCAACGATAAAATTCAACGTATAATTTATGACGTCAATAAAATTCATGTTCTCAATATGTAAATATGAAATTTAAAAAGATAAATCATTCTTAGAACGCGCACCTTTGGAGATGAAAAATTTAATATTAGTCAGATATCGATAGCTGTCTGTTAAAATGTCTTATATTAAATTTATTAAATAACTAGATTTCGCCTAGCTTCGACTAGTCTAATATTGACACCATTTGCGTGGATAAAAAAAACAAAAATAAGTAGCCTATGTGCTCTTCCAGGCTATCCTCTATGCCAAGTTTTATCTAGATCCGTTCAGCCGTTTAAGCGACAAACTCTAACAAATATCCATCTATCCGAATAAACTTTATAATGTTAGTAAAGTTACGTTTCCATTAGCTAAATATCAAATCAAAATTACATAACTTTTGTTTTTAAAAAAAATTGAGGACAGTATAAACTCAGGTTTACAATTTTCAAACATTGAAGTCATTTGAATGGATTTCGTAACGAAAAACAACTTTTCATCAATTTTCTCGCTCTGTTAGTTTCACTCTAGTGTGTGAATTTAAACTTTTGGGTCCCGAAGTGAATATTATGTACCAAGCTGACGTACAACTTTTGAAACCTCCATTATAAGGGAGGAGTTACAGTAGAGTACAGTACACACGTGTTGTCCAAATTTAATAACTATTATGATCGTGGTTTCCATATTAATAGCAGTTTATGTTTTGATATCTGTACTTTAATCCGCACATATTATCAAACAAATGATAGTATTGGTCAGAATTTACAGTTTTAGATAGAATAGACATGATTAATTATAATTACTAGCTGATCCCGTGCAGCTTCAGCCGCGTGGAATTATAAAAACTTTATTTTTTTGTTTACATTTGTCAAATTCTCAATTGCAAATTTCTAAATTACCGTTACCAAAAAAATCTTGCTTCCTTAATGTTGGCAGCTTGTATTTTATGGTCCCTTTCCCGCATTATTTTTAAATATGATAGCGTGAAAATGTATTGGTTAAAGCGTGTCGTAAGTATATAACTTTTGATTAAAGAAGTGTTTCTTCAAAACTATATTGTGATTGCTGATATGTTAAGCCACAAAGTAATGTGTGCTTTATTATATTAGTTTTATATTATTTGTATAAAGTATTTTTGTTATTTATTTCTAATTTCGATATCCAAAGTTAGAATATTCCCGTTGCTAGTATCGAGTAACAATAAATATTTATTGAAGTTAACGTGCATTCGTTTCTATTCGTGGCGTGGTTTTAAAAAACGCGGAGCACTTTACAGCGAATTGTAACGAGAAATTTTATGAGCACAAGTTGTGTAATCCTGGTAATAAATTTATTTGTAGTTGGCTCAGTGCGGTGTTATTTACAATGCAAGGATGTATTTGTTATAACATAGTTTTTAAAGTATTCTTCATATTTACTATTTTATTAGTGGTTTTAACAGTGGTAGAGCCTACTGAAACATCTTTGAGCGAATGACCCGGCTCGATGTAATACTATACAGGTGTGAAGTGGAAGCAATTCCGCGTAAAACTTGATGAGTGTGCGTGAACGCCTAAATTTAGTCGTTTTATCATTTTACTCTCTTTCATACATGAATCGGATGGTAGGGGAAGGTAGGCGTGGGATAGGGCGCATAGACAAAGGAAATGTACTCTTTCTAGGCGTCCCCTCCGTCTTTAAATGTGGGCATCGCGGTCGTTTTTGTATTTATTAAACTAAAAATTGTCAACAACAAAAAATATGTGGTCAACTTACGCGAATGGTTCTAAAAGCACTGAGTACGTTAATAATGTTCATTATTAGTAGTAGTTATTTTTGACTAAAATTAGTAGGTAATTTCTATTAGTATTATTACATGTTTAGTAAATCCACATCAGAGTTTCCGTGAAAGTTGTCTGTTTCCACGATTATTGAATTCGTATAACCAATTGAATTGTAACTTGTTGGAAATTTAGTTGCCACTACTAATTTTGGATTTCACTGTGGAGTTGCATTGTTATGAGAGACATTGCGTTAAATCAATTTAATAATTAAATCATATTTCAGCAACTATGTAATCTTACTTCTTACTAATATTATAAATGCGAAAGTTTAGATGGATGGATGGATTGATGGATGGATGTTTGTTAGAGTTTGTAGCCTAAACGGCTGCACGGATCTCGATGAAATTTGGTATAGATGTAGAGGATAGTCTGGAAGATTATAGGCTACTAGCTTTTGTATTTTTTAATCTCACGCGAACGGAGTCCCGAGCGAAAGCTAGTATTTAGATAGATGCAATATATTCAATAAGGACACAAAGAAGAAAATGTTAAGATTTAATGTGACTACAAAGGAAGAAAGACGGAATAGATGGATTATATGAAAGAAGATATACTTAAGGGAGAGGATTCAAATATGAAGGCCGATAGAGATGTATGCAAGAGCAGCAAATGCTATACCGACTCTTCATAGGGACAAGGGCAAGTTGATGATAACTATTTAACTACGTTTTTAGGGTAAACTATTCATAGATTTACCTAAGAAATAAAAAATATTACTTAAGTTATAAATGTATGTATGCTGTGTAGAGG